GGGACCCGCCCGGTGTCGCCAGCTAGCCAGCGTCTGCGGCTCACTGAGCGGGGCTGCGCTCTGGGTGCAGGGGCTCAGCCCTCTGCAGCGACCCTGCCAGGGGTGTCCTAGTCTCCATCAATCCTCACGACCCACTTCAACTTACTGTAGATAAACTACTTACAGTGGGTGGGTTTTAGAAAGGAAATTTACTTTGGGCAGGGCCTTATGGCCTGGTAGTTAAGGGGGCTGGATCCCACATGGCAGACTGCAGTTCGAATCCCACCCCTGGTGGGCCCCAAATCCTGACAGGATGGAGAAATGGAGAAGAGATTGTAGCATGACCATGCCCCATTGCCCACTGGCAAGTACACACGCCTTCTAGGGATTTAGAAAAGGAAAGAAAGAAAGAGAGAAAGAGAGAGAGGGAGGGAGGGAGGGAAGGAGGAAGGCCTCGCGCTGCCGTGCGTGAGGCCTAGGGAGCCAGGCCAAAGGAGTTCAGGTGGATCGGAAACAAAGCAGCCAGGCTGTGGGCCGCACCCCTGTACTCGCCACTGAGCACCAGCCACGCCAGGCCCACGTCAGGCAAGGGGACGGCTGTGGACAGTCAGGCGACAGGTTCCGAATTAGCATCCCTAACACCAAACACCCCACAGTGCCCGCAGAGAAAGCTGGCTACCTGAAGGCTTCCTCTCGACTCTGTCTAGGAAACTATCTACAACACCTCCTTCCTATTTAAAATCTGTATCTGGGTGTGGTCCCCATCCTCAGGTATGTGTCACTGACAATCTCCCTACGGTCACCCGTGTTCTGTCACTCAGCGGGCCTACTCTGATGACTGACACCCACGCCGTCCCCCACCCGTGGCTCTCTTCTCTCGGTGTAAAGGAAACCCGTCTCTGTCACACTGGAAAGGGCTTTCTTCACAGGAAGCTCCGCCTTGTGACACGGGGCAACGACCACCTTGACCACCTAACTGCATGACAGCTGGCCAGCGGAAGTGCTCTGGGATCAGCACGCGACTCACAATGTCCCCGCCACGGTGAGGCTTCTGAAAGTGAAAACTGAAAAAGAACGACTCCAGGGACGAGCAGATGGCAGAATGACTAAGTCACTAGACTCCCATGTAGTCCACCGCGGTTCGAGTCCCAGACCCGGTGGCTTAAACTCACTCTGGGCGCTTGTGTGTGTGTGCCCAAGATCCCGAGAAGAGAACAGAGAAGGGAATGCAGCGTGGCCATCCCCCCTGGGGGGTGATTTCTCACTTTCTGTCTCTCTGTCTCTTTCTGGCGAGCGCACGCACCCTAT